CAGAGCCATGGGAATCGGACTCCAATCTGAGGAGGCAGTATGACATTCTAAAGTCTTCTGTGTTATGCCCTGCCCCTCACAGATTTCATTAAATCTGCCGTGTTAAAATTAATTGGGCATCACACTCATAATCTTGAATTGCTTGCTCCTGTAGGAAGACAGGAAAGCATAGAGATGAATAGAAGACACAGAGTTTTCAGGTTTGTTTTGTTTCTCTTTGCTCTGGAGGGGATGCATTATGCAACCAGAAAGGAAGAAACAATTCATTTTGCTTCCTTAGGTGGGACAACTGAACCAACCACATGGACACATTGTAGCACCCAAAGAGAAACAAAAGTAGTAGACTTAATGTACTTAAGCTATTCTGAATAAAAGGCTAAAAAAAAAAAAAAAAGGAATTTGAATATGCGTAATGTTTTCCATGAGGCCAAGATGAGTCCTATAGCAACTGCATTCATTCCATAAACCAGAAACAAGGAGTCACCTAGAATCTGCTACATGCTGAGCACTGAGAAGGAGCTCCACGCACATTAGAGCCATCCAATAGAGCACTGTGCTGGAATAAACATGGATATGACCACCACCAGACATATATTTGAAACAAGGTTAAGATTAAAATAATGCAACTGCATGAGATTTTAAACCCAGAAGGTGAAAAAGTATTTTTTTTTTTTTGTATGACGAGAACCCAAATCTAGAGTAAGAATTAGTGGCTATAGATGAGCAAAGATCTCAAAATCAAGTCCCGACAAACAGTAACTCTTAAGCACACTCTAAAATTCTTTTCTTGAAAAAAAGAAGGAACATAATAAATTCATAGCCATAGAGTCCCAGATGCAATAACAGCAAAGACTCCGGTAAAAATAAACATTTGCACCAAACATATAAATCCCTACATTTTGACGAGAAGAACACAGGCTCAACTTACCTCACCGCTGCAAGAGGCTGGAATAAAAATTACTGGCTTATAGAAGCAACTTTCACATGTATCTGAACATCAAACACACACAGATATAAAATAAAAAATAACTAGAACAGAAAAAGTTTTCAGTCTGACCTTAAAAATACTGAGCAAATCACTAGATGAGACCAGATCAAAAGGAAGGGCATTACACCAGCTTGTAGCCAGATGTGAAGGGGTCCCAGACTGCACAGGGCACAGATGGTATAAAATGGGGTGGTGGAGGAGGGGGGAGGGGTGCAAGTACATCTGAAACATGAGGCAAGCAAACCTGGTTTGGCTTACACAGGTAAGACGGCTTGAAAGAATGAATCACTTTCAAGCCAACTGATAAGCTTTTAAACGTGAGACAAATGTTACTAGAGGCCTCCAGCTGAAGTGTGTGCAACACGTGTAAATTTGAAATTCTCTTGTGTACTAATTCAATGGGAACAGATGCTCCCAGAGGGTACATGCAAGGTCATGGTGACTTAGGGTTAGTGAATACCATGGAGCCAGCATCCACAGGGCTTAAAAACACATACAGTGGTGGAAAGCCCCGTTACCTGGTTACAGTCTGCGAAATTTGAAGGGAATTTAATATTCACTCCCAAAACATCTGCGCTTGAGAATAGCCTGTTACATGTGTATTAATGGATTCAAAGTCTTCAATAGCTCTCATTCATTATATAGTGATAAAACTACACTCTGTTCTTCCTTTTTACACTTGGAATAAAAACTGCTTCTTTGCACGTAACAAGACAATAGATACATTAATTACCCACCAGAAACTCAGAAGCACTGATTTCAGGATCACTTTTGTAACACAAAGTTGCCAGTTTAACAAATCCCAAATCAAACACTTCTTCCCAAACAGATGTTCAAGAAAAAACATCCAACCTTAATGTTCCAAGTTGAATCTGGAAATGTGTTTCATTAAATGAATGAGTCAATTGTTTGTTGTTGTTGTTTTGTTGTTGTTGTTGAGGCAGCAACCAAAACTGTAACATGTAACACACATTCCTGCAAACCCATGACTTCAGAAGGACACAGAGCATAGAATATCCAAAGGTCAGTTTATTGGATATTCTAAGAAGCACATCTGACACACACAGATACAATGAGACTATAAATTTCAGTAGCAATGATGGACAAAGAAGTATTGACTTCCTGATGACCTATGCTTACCATCCACATGCTCTGGGGAATGCCTGTTTGATTCTTTTTAACACTTGGATGTATTAAAGACTCCCTTCAGTTTAGTAACAGCTTGGCTAAGCTACGTTTAGAAAGTGACAATTAATTTTAGTGGAAACTCATTCCCAGGCTACTTTGATAGTCCTCCGAACAGTTTTGCGGTATTTTACATGCACTTTTATAGCTCTGTAACATTCATTTAATCTTGTTCAATGATGCTGAACCCCAGACGCCATAAGACATTATAGAAAAGTAGTTACTGCACATATGGAGTAGCTACTTTTTTTCTGAACATTAATTTTTCTTCTCTTAACAGGCTGAAATGTTATTTAGAAAAGAGAAAAGCCATGGCTCTGTATTAAAGGTTTATATTATGAACTTCCAGAAATGGGCTACTTATGATTGCTGTGATCTTAGCCACAAAGTTCTTATTTATGAGTATCTTCTATTTAAGTAGTAATGGTTTTCCCCAAGAGTGTTGGTGTTTACCCTCCTATCAGGGTGTCTGGGAGAGCTTGGGTGGGTGTTCCTCACCTGCCATATGCAGAGGTTGGATGTAATCAGAGGTTCTCTAAGTCAGGTCTCAAGACCTGCATGGGCTAGCTCAAAATGCAGATGCCCAAAGCTCCAGGGGCAGCTGAGGAATGTGCTTGATAAGTTAGCACCCCAGTGGTCTTTCTGCGCACTAAGCAGTCAGACACACTGCTGAATGATCTCGAAGGTCCCTTCCACTCTCAAATTCCATGTCTTTGGGTTTTCTTTTAAATCTTGAGTTCTGTCAGCACCATGAAGGATGATGCCTTCTGGGCTCAGCAGATTAACTAAATGTAAGAAGTCTTTAAAACAAAACAAAAACCAAACCAACCCAGAAAAGCTAACCTGCAGTAGTCTAGTTAGATGGTTAAGGACTCAGTTTGGGTTTTTTCCTTGAGGGGGTGAAAGGGAACCCATCTTTCTGCCCTAGTAGCTCATTTTCCAAGGGATTTTTCTATTCATTCCCTCTTCCCTTTTACTCTGTGACTCTTCCTGGCTCTTGAGAAACCATCCAGGCTTTACACAGCCCTGAGCCACCAAACTCTAAAGAGTAAGTTGAGGTGATCTCAATAGTAAGAAACAAACCACATCCAGGCAGTCCTCTACTTTCATCTAATATAGGGAAGAAGAAGGGCAGCTTTGCATTCTTAAAGGAATTCTGTAATTATCTAAAGAGAAAGGAATCCTAATAGTTTGTCATCATTAGTCATGCTAATCAAATATTGATAAAACACTCCCTGTATTCCTATGTTTATTTTTTCTCTTTATAACTACTTCAAAGGCCAAGGAGAGGCTAGGAGCTGAGATCTTTAGAAGCGTGTCTGGAGCATTCTATCTGCGATTCATTTTTTATTAGGCATATGAGAATTAAATGTCTATCGCTAAATATGATTTGTATGTAAAGCAAGTTTTGTAATGTTCTATTGCAGCATGTAGCAAGATCTTAAAATAATCCCACACATAGCAGGACTCATCCTGCCTCTGGTCCAGAGCCATCAGCTGGGAGGCAGCGCCACCATGTGATCATTGTGAGTGCTGTCAGGTTTGTGTAAGGAGGAAAGTTGGGATACTCGGGGAATGGAGCATCCGACAGCAGAGACCCACTTCCTGTCACACTACAGTGGTCTCTAGACCCCAAATCTAATGCCAGTCAGTCAGGGGAGTGAATGGGAAGGAACAAGCAGCCGTTGACATGAGGAAGTCTGAGTACATGTTGTTACTATAGCCTGAGTGGGTCAGAGGTGACTTGGTGGGGAGGATAGGCTGACAGACAGGACTGTCTTCCCTATGTGTAGATTACTGTTCACAGACTTCAGTGCCCAGCTCTCCTGATGGCTTGATCTCCATCCTTCAAACTGGGACAAGTTCAGTCAAGGCTCAACTACTATATTGTATGTTGTGTCTACCGGATGCAATTACATCTAACGTGCCTTCCAACCGTGAAGTTTTATGACTGCACGTACAGTGTAGACATGCTAAAGCAAAGGGAAGTCTAGAACTTGACCTCATGGTTTCTCGGAGTCTTGTTTTTCTTCTCGTGTTTGTTCTCTGTCAGGGGAACCATGAGTTAAATTACAGCATTGCAGGTTTGCTGGGTCAGTTCAGAAACAGACAGCAGACGTAAAAGAGCACATCCTAAAAACCTTCCGAAAGTGTTTGCAAAGGTCACAGAAAGGCTTCAAGGACAAGTCTTTCACGACTACTGTGTGGCCTGATCCCGTGGGTGCATCTTTCCCAATGTAAACAAGAGCCTGTAACATGGCAATCTAGGGATGATAGGATGGAGGAGAAAACGCACTGGTTTCTACCGGATTTCCTGGCTCTGCCTCACAGACTGAAGAGTTACTGGATAAGGAAGCGAGCCCCTTGGCTTCTGTGTGGCTCTCTGCAGAGCAGACAGGGATAGACCCGCAGGACTCCGTTAAAGGACCAAGATTCTACTGGAGTCGCTACTTGCCCCAGCAGCGGCCAACTGGCTGAACTGCTCTGACACCGAGTCACCTGCCCCCAAATGTTGCCCCCTATCTCCCAGAGCATCGGCTTCTTTAAGGAGGACAATGAAAGGCTTTCAACTGCTTAAGTCAGCTTAGTTCTCACAAAGTCAATTATGACTAAATATTCAATTAAAACCATTTCCAAAGCCAAATTTGACAAAATCCACTCAAAGTAATCCAGATGACAGGTTCTGAACATTAGGCGGGCTAAATACGGCTCATGTTTAGTGTTTTCCAAAGAGAAGCAGTTGCAGAAGTTCACTGGGATGAAAATCTATTTTGTGTGCTTGTCATGTTTCATGTTCATGAACAATAGAAACTCGAAAGCATTAACGTGAGCCTAACATTCCTATTTATTTTATTTTATTTTATTTTTACTTCAAAAGCTACATACATGCAAAAATTGAACATGTCATCACAAATGTTTTAAATAAAGTTCAAAAATAAAAATTCCTCAAAATTTATTTACTAATGGAAATATATATATGACAATTATAATAAGGAAGTCAGTTATATCCTTTTTGCTAATCTATCAGAAAAATACTTATAAAAAGGAATTTCAATTCATGTCCAGAATAAGTTTTAAATCCTTGAGTTATACTTTTAAAACAAGTTTAGAAATTGTTCAGAGAGGTACACGTCATTTAGACAAACACGTCTTGGGATTTTTCTGGAAGTATCCAACACTTTAATGAGTGAAACTGTCGAGGGGCTTGGGTTCAGAAGAGAAGTACTTTCTAAACTCTGACAGCTAATTATTTTGGCTGAGTGTTTAGCAATGCAAGTGGAGGCCACGACTCTTATAAACAGATGCTACTGAGAGCCATTTAAAATATCTAAACGGGGAATGTTAGTTACAAGTCCATGTGGGAGGCTTAGAGCAGCCCCATCTCTCCGCTGGCCAACAGTGCAAGAGGAATTAAAAATTTGCCCTTTTGAGAAATATAGAACCCACACTGGTCCAATGGCCCTGAGTCCAAGCCAAGAGGAGGGAGGCCCTTTCACAGGGAATATCACCGGGAGGTGGGGCAAAGTTAAAAGGGAGCAGGAACACCGGGGAGGAGCTACAATACTCTGAAAGGTTTTCTTCTATTGAAGCTACTATTTCTTTGGTAGTCTCATCCAACATCTAATAGCACAGTTAATAGGAACGAGATGCACTCAAGTTCAACTGTGCTTCCTGAAACAGTGTGCAAATGATGGCCACGCTGGAAGGCCATCGATTTTCAGAAAAGACACATGACCGGGGCAGGAAAGAGGGATCACTTAACACAAGGTGTGAGAATTGATGTGGAAGGTTCTAAGTGGGTAAACATGCGGAAACTTAGGAAGAAACTCCATTCCACACAAGTAATAAACAGGGCCTCTTCTGTGAATCCGAAATATCAGGTTTCCTCTCTGGACAAATCACGGGGCTTCTGTTGAAAAGGCCAGCTTGGGATTCTGGTTAGAAATACTTGCACAGTGGGCCCCCAAATCCTAGAGTTTGATTTTGAGCCTGACACTCAATTGTGATTAAAGATTTCATGTTAGGCAAACCAATAATTTCTTTTCCTTATAGTGCTTTTTAAAAAGGGTTTAAGATGTGCGTGCTGTCAAGGAATACGGTTTCTATGGAACACACACTCAAAAGAAACAATGCCCAGCTCACAGTCTGCAGGCAAGTGTCACAACAATTTATCAGACAGGGGGGTTTGCTAGGCTAGGCTTCCTCCTGGTGCCCTGTGGCTTCACAGGCAGTCCCGTGGCGATTATGCAGATGTTCCTTAACAAGGTACAGGAGAACTACTGAAGGGGAGACCCAATTCTTATGCCTCAATGAAAGGGTGTGCAGAAAACAATAATTACCCTGAATAAGGACCCTTATGGGGAGGGGGAAGAGTGCAAAGAACAGAGAATTTAGAAAGCTTTTAAAAAAAAGTTTTCTTTAAAAAAATAACAAAAAAACACCCAAGTGATATGATGGCAGAAACCCACAGACTCTCCCCAACCACACCTGCCACTCGGAGTCCTAACCGCCCAGTCTGCCAGGACAGAAACCCACTCTAAATGGACCAGCATCGGGCTTCGGCAAGTCTTCTCTTCACTCTCCCTCCTGTTAAGACCGTTTCCAAAACCAATCAGCAAAGGATAAAGAATTCTTTACAGAGTGCAATTAGTGTTTTCCACGTCCACCTTCAAAAGCATGATGCTCTTCATGGGCTAAAGGACAGAAAAAAACAAAAAGGAAAAGAAGGAAAGAAAACTTTAAGCAAAGGATGGGCCAACCCCCTCTAGGCATCTCATTCAGCTTCCCCAGATGTTGGCAAGAACTCAAATACCTTTTCTGTCTGTCTTTCTTTCTTTTTTTTTTCTTGCCAGTAACTGTTAGCTAAGGCATGCATTTCCTGAGAAACGTAATAATGAAAATTAAAACAAGGAATAAACAAGCTATGGGCATGCTGCCTGCTTCTTCTTGCGGTGCCTCGAGGGGATGACTCATCCACACAAGCTGATGAGGAGAGTATGCTGGGCTCTAGGCAAATGCTACAGGGAAAATGAGCCCCACAAGAATGCATGGGAAGGGGGGAACCTATGACCCAAGACAGAGCCATTCACGAGTCTACCTTCAAGAATAAAATAACACAAAACAAAACAGAACCATGCAAGAGGGGGTGGTGGATTACATTATGCCCCCTGCTTCTCAACACCTTCTGTGGGAAACTAAGTTTCATAAAATAATGCTTCTATTATTTTCCCCAACCCTCACCCCACACCTCAGGGGTTTCATAGTTTGTCTTGTGGAATTACTAATTAGGAAACTGACAATAAAAATTACGCTTTTCAAAAACTTAAATTTTTTAAACTGGAAGACAAGAAATGGGAGGCCCATGAGACACACAATATTAGCTGTAATGCAAAGGGCCAAGTTTGAGTTGAGGGTGTCTAGATGTCACTATGAGGCAAGGTCTAATACATCCGGGGCTATTCAACCCAACTGCATCCACTTGCTCATCCAGGCAATAAAGGGAGACAGAGCTGAGTGCTCCACTTCACCTCCATATCTCCTCCTATTCTTGTTTTTAATATAGACTACCAAGGGAGAGGATGGCGGGATAGCTGTCCTTCAAGACCGTCCCAGGGAGCTACTCCAAGCAGCAATTCATCTAGATAAACCACTGGGAAAGATGCACCTTGTAACTCCCAGGGTGACTAGGACTGGTGACCTAATATCCGCCCAAGTTTAATTACACATCTCTAACAACATCAACTTTCTAAGTATCGAATTTTTAAAATACTTTATTTGGGTATGTTTCTGCATGTGCAGGTACACATGCATGTGTAGGGAGTAGTGTATGTGTGTGTGTGGGGGGGAGGGAGTAAGGGAGGGAGGGAAGCAGAGAATAATCTCGGCTGTTGATCCTCAGATGTTATCTATCTCATGTTTTGAGACAGGATCTCTCACTGGCCTGGAACTTGCTAAAGACTAGCCTGGCCAGCAAGCCCCAGAGATCCACCTGTCTCTACCTCCCCAGTACTGGGATTATAAGTAGATACCACCACTCTCTGCTTTTTGTAGGTGTGTGTCTACATATATATGTGTGTGTATACGTGTATGCAGATGTGACGTGCATGTGTGTATCTGCATATGTATTTGGTTTATGTGTGTGTGTGTGTGTGTTAGCGTGCGCGCGCGCGCGCTGCGCGCGCGTGTGTGTGTGTGTGTGTGTGTGTGTGCGCGTGTGTGTGGTGTGCATACATGCTGCATGAGCACCTGATTGTACCGGTGCACATACCTATGCCTCATGTCTAGAAGCTGAGGAAGGACACTGGGTGTCCTGCTTTGTCACCTCTGACATACTCCTTTGAGACAGGCTTTCTCCCTGAACCTGGGACAGGCTTAGGGCCAGAAAGCACTGGTGAGCCTCCTGTCTCTGCCTATACAGTGCTAGGGTTACAGTGTGTGTGGTAATGCCCGGCTTTTCACACAGATGCTGGGATGTGAACTCAGGTCATCATGCTGACACAGCAAGTGCTTTTACCAACTGATCCATCTCTCCAGCCCTAGCCATTTTCTTTAGGGATTTATTTTTAAATTATATGTACTCGTGTGGGGGTGTGCACATGAGGGTGGGTGCCTGTGGAGTCCAGAACTGGGTGTCAGATCACCTAGACCTAGAGTTTCAGACAGCTGTAAACAACCTGTCATGGTGCTGGAAACCGAGCTCACTGACTCTGAGCCCTCTCCTCAGGCCCTAGCCCAAGCTATTTTTAAATGTGGGTTCTGGGGATTGAACTTAGGTCCCCTTACAGAGTTAGCTCCTCAGCCCTTATTCCTATCTTTAATAAAGATGTCTTATGGCAGACACCAAATAAAACATAGACTGGTCTTCAGTGAAATAGACTATGTTTCAGGGCCAATTTGAGGAACCACAAAACGACAGCCATGCTGATTTGCAAATTATAAATCCAAAGGCAGTAGTGATGCAAAGATTTTCCTTATCTCTAGGTGTGTGGGGTCAGGATAGCCACAGCAGAAACACTGCAGTGTCAGTGGTCAGAAGTTAACAGCCAGCAGATACATTGCAGTACCGTGAGCATCTGGGCATTGAAGGCCATTGGCCACCCCTGGAACAACTGGGAAAAAATTAGAGGACTTCTCAGATCCAGGAGTCAGTGGACTTTTAGTAGTAATTCATGCAATTCCTGACTGATGAAGAAGCTACACAAAATACAGACACAAATGAGTGCTTCTTCACGTAACCAAGCTACAGAAACTTGGTACTGATATAATTTCATGTGTCACAAAACAGTTTCACTTTTTCCCAATCATATGCTTCACTCCCATGGAAAGACTGAGGTGTGGGGTGGGGGCGGGAGCCGAGAGGCTGGCTCAGTTTCAGTTCCTGGCTTTCCAATCCCTGTTCTACACAGTGCTCACACTAGAGAAAGGCCTTTGTCCCTCAGCTTTCCAAGGAACTTAATGGAACCAGGGAGGGGGTGTGTGTAAATTGTGAGTTTCTCCCTCAAATCTTCAATCTTGGATGGAAATCACATTAAGTGCCAATGTCCAGTTCCTCATCTGCCCACTGGAGGCCAGGACTGGGTATCCTGGGATTCTCCCGGCATTCCAGTCATCTAGCCAGCTAGCTTCTACAAACCCCAGAGCACCAGGACCCTGTGAAGACAAAGGTGGCATGAACTGGCTCACCCAGGGCTGCCCCTCACCCTGTGAGCCAGCTTCTGTCCAGCTCTCATTTTTCCAGGTCACTTCTGTAACACACGCTGGTAACCATGCCAAGTAGAGGACAACCTGCTGCATGTCGAACGCAGCGCATTCCGAGTTTTAAACTGCACACTCTGAGCTTTTAAATGCTCAAGTGTGTCATTAAAAAGCAGTTTTCGGCCTCGAGCTGCAGCTAGCTCCTTCTGACTCACACACCTGACAATGTCAACTGCCTTCAGGGTGTCTCTTCAGCTCCCACTCCGTTGGCCTGAGTGCAACTTCCTTTCTCTTTGCTTGGTGCCCCACACCCCCACACCGCCTGTCAGCCACCCCAACAGCTAAGCAGTGAATCCTCTGCCCTTGGTCATTCTTACGTGACTATGCCTTGGCCCTAAAGCTGGAGCCTAATGACCTAAGTAGATCCTGACTTCATGCTGAGCTGCTGACCAGTTGGTTAGCTGTCAATTTGTTCACAGAATTGTAAAGAAGAAGGAACCTTGGAGATCATCTGAGACCTTCTGGACACAGGTGAGAGAGAGTGAAACTGCTCAGGGACACAGCGGTGAAGTGTGGTAAAAACCCTGCGACTCTCAATGGCTTTCTCCTCCTCGGAGTCAAGTAGAGGGCAGACTCAAGTGTGGGCCCACTTGAACTCGGCACTGACTCACACTCCCTTCCGTAGTTTTTGCCAGTTACTCTTGTGGACTGGAAATCAGAAAACACTTTGGAGACCTTTTGATATCTGGGGTGAACTACAGTTGACATGTCCCTATGGAGCATTAATGGTATCCATGTGCCTGTCCTGTCTCCACACTGCACAGCCAAGAGCAACTCTTCAGTGTGCATTTTCTGTCTCTTCCATTTTAAGCTTTCTATTACAGTGCAGAGAGGATCAGCACCCTCTAAGTGCAGAGTGCAGGATCCATTTCTCTGTGTGGATCCTGATTCTCGGATGATGGCTACAAGACTCCTCCCAGGGAGGCCTGAGTTTTCATATGTGCTATAACACAAGGGCAATCACAAAACTGGAATTTGTTTAGCCTCTTGACAAGGACCAGGACTAGTGAGACAATGATGAAGTATATTTCAGAGATTCTAAGATGCCCCGTGCTCTGTCCCCTGCGAATCTCAAAACCTCTAGAGTCAACGGTGCATCCTGGTTTAACTGAAAACCTTTTGTTATTTTCTTTCTTTAAATACTAAGATAATAGGATGTACTATGTGCAAGAGCACCTTAGAGTCAATGAAATACAACAGTAAGAAAAAAATGGGTTAGTGACTACCAGAACGATTTGGGACAGAGAAAATCCATCGCAATGTGTGTGGGGCTGTCAATCATTTCCTTTAACTCACTATTGAACGTGTAACCCACCATTTGAACTACCAAACACCAGGTCAAAAGTGCTAAGATGTTTTCGTTATGGAAAAGATGACTGTCTCTAGAGAGCACACGAAAGCAATGAACACAAACCACAATGGAAACAATGGGTCCACACACCTGTTCACACCAAGAGTTGTATGTACCGTTGCATGTGAATTCTTGGTGACTCTGCCACAGTCACCATAATGAGGAAGTGTCATTTAGGTAGAAGTGTCAATCATACCTGAGTTCCCCCATAAACACAGATGTTAAACAGTGTAAGTTTCTGTGCAGGAAGGGATGATTGACCATCTGCCTCCCATTTCACTGACTGATTTTTTGGTGTGTGTTTGTTTCCTATTATTATTTCCAATAGGATATGATTATCTCTCACAAATTTAAGTGTAGGTTTAAATTTTTAAAATAACAAATACAATGTGTATTTGCTTTTTGGATCCATGTACTTAGGCAAGAACAAAACCTCATTTTAATTTCTGAAACTAAGCTTGATTAAAAGAACACTAAAGAGCATTGTGTTGAACTGTTTTCTGCAGGAATAGAGTTTCGAGTGATTCTGCCTTCACCTCATCTGCAATGTGCTTCTATCTCTAGAAGTCTGGTAGAAGAACCTTGAAAACAGTGATTGGAAATGAAGCCACTTACGTTTATAAAACACTGCTTTAAAAGATATGTGGGGCAGGAGTTCATGGATCTTCTCGAGCACAGAAGCTTCACCCACTAATGAGGCGTTGACATTCCAGACCTGGATGACATCCTCTCGGTCCCGAACACTCACACTGACCCCTATGACTTCGTCATCTGAGGGGAAGAGGAGGAAAAGGCAAGAATGAGTAAGCAACTCCAAGCCAGTCTGGCCACATCTAAGCGCCCATCACTTTAGCTGTGAGTTACGGATAAGATAGGGACTTGTAAGTGACTGCTTCCATGGGGACCGCTGGGGAAAGTCAAGTCGGCACAGACTCTGCCAGAGCTGCATCACATTTAGCCGGGGACTCAATAAACAGAGTGTTCAAGCCAAATGAATTTTCCAGATAAGTAATTTTACCCTTTTTAACATGTTACCCAAAGCTTTCTGTCAATTTCTGACTCTGTTTTGATGAGACTTTTTCTAAAATAGGTTGCATAATTCTCTGCCCTCTGAAAGCCAAGTGAACTCAGATGAACTTTTTGCTTGAAGCCTGGCCCTCTCTATTAAGAGCAGTAAGATGTTCTGTGACTTCCTGCTAAGCCTTTGGAGGTGTTGGGGCTGTGAGCGCTCTCTGCTCCGAAACCTGCTGGACCCAGACTGTGTGTGTCCAGTGGCTCCTCTGCTTTGTGGGGTTTGTCTGTCTGTTCTTTTCCTATTCACTTTGCCCTCTGGTGCTTCCTTCTGTCAATCATCCCCTCGGACTGGGTTGAACCAAGGGTTAAAGAGCTGACAGCCACCTGTTAGCACTACAGGGCAAGGAAGAGTGTCTGCTGAGTGACACCTTACCATGACCACAGTGAATGGTCAATAGGCATCAAGCTACACTGGTTACTACAGGCCTTCTCCAGCAGTAAGGCACTTGGCACGGAGGCACCTGAGCTGGCGGCCGGATGCTGAGCCTCCTGTAGCATTATGTTCCTGTGCAGCCACTCTGTCCACGCTAACTGGCAGAAAATGAGAGAAGTGGGGGCCTTGGATTCCAACGTCTGCATGTTCCTGACACATTCACGAGGCAGAGTCAGCTCTCTCTCCTTGCACACTCGGCACCAGTAGGCAGCACACGAGAGAGAGGCATTAGCACAGGTAGGGAATTTTGTGTTAGCTAAGGCATGCTGCTAGTTTGCTGTCCCCCTGGGAGCTGAAGTGGTCAAGCCATCCATTTTTCTCCTGGACATGTGAACATGTTGAAAAAAAACCACAAGGAACAACCCGTATGTCCGTAAACTGCTGCATGACTAAGCAACATGAGGCTTATCCACTGATGTGTGGTCATGGTGATGGCAGAGGTGGTGGTGGTGGTGGTGGTGGTGGTGGTGGTGGTGGTGGTGGTGGTAGTGGTAGTGGTGGTAGTAGTGGTAGTGGTGGTGGTGGTCATGGTGATGACAGAGGTGGTGGTGGTGGTGGTGGTGGTGGTGGTGGTGGTGGTGGTGGTGGTTGTGGTGGTGGTGGTGGTGGTGGTGGTGGCGGTTGTGGTGGTAGTGGTGGTGGTGGTGGTGGTGGCGGTTGTGGTGGAGGTGGTGGTGGTGGTGGTGGTGGTGGTGGTGGTGGTGGTGGTGGTGGATGGTTAGATGGCCCAGTCAGTAAAGCACTAGCTTTGCAAACATAAGACCTGAGTCAGATCCCCAGAATCCACGTACAAGGAGCTGAGTGTACTCCTGCAGTTCCAGAACTGGGAGAGCATACATGTAGGTTCCAGGGGCTTGCTGGGACCTACATGTTGAATATGATTTACATAGTGGCGTGCCCAGTCTTCCCAAAGAAACCATTTTCTGTGAAATAAATCCCCCTCCTCCATTTCCCCCTTCCCTTCCTTCCTCTCTGCCTGTTTTCCTTTACGAATGAATTTGACCATGGCTATGGGTGCATAATATGAACACCTTGTGAACATGTAAACGAGTGTTCAGAACCTGGCAAAATGAAGCTATGGTGTTAAAAGCTGGATTGATGGCATCCTATGAAGAGAAAGATAAGGGGGCACTGATGGGCAAGAAGGCATTCATGTCCTGCTTCTTAATATATAAGCTCACTAAACGGACATGATTATTTTGTGACCTGTCGCCAGGCTCCACAGCTGTGATGTCGGGATTTTCTGCACACCCATCACATTCCAACACAAGTTAAACAAAAGCAAGACAGCACCTGTTCATGGCCAACCTCAGAATCTCTCATGGCACCACGAAAAGCACTGCTCCTCATTTTGTTCCTTGATTTAAAATAATATGGTTGTCAGAGCTCAATGATAAATTTCATGTAAAAATAAAATTTCTAGCCGGGCGGTGGTGGCGCACGCCTTTAATCCCAGCACTCGGGAGGCAGAGCCAGGCGGATCTCTGTGAGTTCGAGGCCAGCCTGGTCTACAAAGTGAGTTCCAGGAAAGGCGCAAAACTACACAGAGAAACCCTGTCTCGAAAAACCAAAAAAAAAAAAAAAAAAATAAAATAAAATAAAATTTCTACACAAAAAAAGAGGTGATCCAGCGTTTCACTCTCAAGAAGGGCCTGGATACCAGTTTTGGGGGAGATGTGAGTGTCCCCAATCCTTTGGGATTATCCTTTCCTACACGACTGGTAGTAGGTGAGGTCACCAACAGATGCCAAACAGGGCAAGTGGTCACTGTTTCAGTTTGGCTTGGCTTTGGCAGACAGGAACAGCTGAGCACAGCCCTTTTGCAAACAGTGTTGTAAAAAGCCCACGGCTCTTAGGAGAAGGCAGGTCCATGGTGAAATACATAAAGCCCCCATGGAGAATCAGTCAGCGACACCTGGACTGTGGCAGAGTTCCAGCAGCAGAAGACAGTGGGGCCAGGAGGCCACTGTTTAAAGAGGCTCTATAAGGGAGGCTGAGAAAGATTAACTGGTTGCCTCAAGTGACAGAGCTGGTTAATGGACATGATGAAGGTGAATAGTTAATAGTGTCCTCCTTTCTAGTCAGCCACAGAAGAATTGGCCTTCTTTGCGCACTATTGGGTATTTCCTATTACTTATCGACTATTCCGGAACTTCTGTGTTTCTAGCTACACATAGGGTATCTGTGGGCTGTGTAGTGTAAAGTTGTTAGCCTTTCTCCACTGGAACAGAAGAAACCTGAACTTGTAAGACCATTTCATCTTAATACACATTTTGTCTGAAGTGAGTAAAAGCAGTGTGAAAGGCTGAGCACCCCCTACCTCCCATGAGGTGAATGTGAGATCGGTCATAGTGCCGTCAGGATGACAAGAGCTCTCAGAGATAGCCTAAGTCTGGTGCCAACTGACCCACGCGAGTTCACACACACACAAAATAACAAAACAGCAAGGAGAGCAGATAAAACCCAGAACCAAAAGCAGCATGGAAGAGAATAAAAAACAAAACAAACAACAAAAACAAAACAAAAAACGCCACAAAATTTGGGGGAAAGAAGAGAAGAGATCCTGACATCAGCAGTGAACCCCTCTCTGGAAGGTGAAGGAAGACGGTTCAGAGAGAGAGGAGCTAGGGCTGTGGCAGAGCCCATGGCTGGGTGCACAAGATCCAGGATTCCAGCCCTAACACACACAAAGTCATTGCTCTCAGAGGCCTTCCTGAAAGCCACTCAGCATGGCAAAGCCTTCTCCCAAGGCAAGTCCCTGACGCTCTTGTTTCAACCTTAGCTGAGAGCTTGTGGGCAGGAACAGTGAGACATCTTTGTTTCCCAGTGTCTGCTTCTCTGAGTAGAGCCAGGAGAACAAGGGGAGGGAATAAACAGAGAGAAGGAAAGGACTGTTCTTATCCACCCACAGATCCCACTAGGCATGGCAGACACTTCCCCCTCCAGGAGATGAGACAGCCTCAGAAAGCCTACTACAAATCACGCTGGCCCACTGATGAAGAGTTCTCTTTTCTCTCTGCCTATTTATATTGGATGAATGGCTATAACAGTCATATTATATATATGTACATATATGTCTACATTATTTCATATATATTTATATATATATATATACATATTCATGTGTGTTTTTATAGATGTAATATATATCCAGCCTTTGGTATGTATGAAGGATAAGTTCTATACCCCCTCCATACCACGGACACTCAAGTCCCTTCTATAAAAGTTAGTCATTTGCAGATAATATTTATTTAGGTCTTATTTTGTAGCAGTTTGTTTTTGTACACCAGGCGAGTGTTCTACCACAGAGCTATACTGCCAGGCCAAACTTATTTTCAGCCATCTCTTATTTTACTTGTAACACAAAATGTGAATGCTGTGCAAATTGTCTGCATTGTATTGTTTCTTGAAGAACAAGGGGAAATGTATGTATGTGTTTAGTTCAGACACTGTTCATGCTTTCTACTGTTTTTGATCTGTAAATCCATGGATACAAGATCTGAGGATAGGAAGGGCTGCCTGTACACACATGTAAATATGCACACAAGCTTAAATACACAAGTCTCACACCAAACACCACACCACACAAACAAGTCTCAATGACATCACAGCTACAAAGTCAACACCTTGCAGGGAGGTAGAAAGACTAACACATAAAGACAAAGGCCTGTGAGTAACAAACATAACCCAAGCATACCAGGGTGTGGACAACTCGGCGGTCGCCTCCCTACCTGCTGCCACACAGTCCGAGAACTGCTCCCCAATGGTCGCCAACAACAGCTCTTTCCAAACTGTGGACTGAAGTAGGAGAGAAAAGTAAAAACAAGACAATGTTTAGGCAGTTATCATCAGGTGCCAAAGAAACACAAGCCCCCTTCCCACAGTTGGAACATACAGACACCCCCAAATCACAGAAGTGAACATGTGCAATTATGCAGGTATGGGAACAACTTGCAAATGACTGCCCACACAGATACAAGTGATCCAGGGCCTTAAGTGCTAGTGAAGTCCCCAAGAACTCCAGAAGAACTGGGAGGCACACACCTTCAACTATGGTGATATATTGTGAACCCTAATAAAAATTACCTGAAGATCAGAGGACAGAGCAAGCCACTAGATTAGACAAAGAGGCCAGGCAGTGGTGGTACACACACTTTTAATCCTAACACTTGTGAGGCAGAGATCCATCTGGATCTCTATGAGTTCAAAACTACCCTGGACTACATGAGATTGACTCAGTCTAGGAGAGAAACAGAGCCAGGCAGTGGTGGCACACACCTTTAATTCCAGTACTGGGAAGCCCACACGCCTTTAATCCCAGGAAGTGATGGCTGGGCAGAGAAAGATACATAAGGCATGAGGAGACAGAAACTAAAGGCTTTTAGGCAGAAGCATCCCTTCCAGCTAGAGGCTTTTTCAGCTGAAGCCTTTTCAGCTGAGGAAGCTCATTTGGCTAGACGTCTATTGGCTGAGGCCTTTTCAGGCTGAGGGGTTGGAGGTAAGAGGTAGTGGCTGTGGTTTGTTCCTTTGTCCCTCTGATCTTCCAGCTTTTCTATCAATATCTGGCTCCGGTATTTTTATTATAAGACTATTTTGAGTTTGTACAACATTCAACTCACCTCCTTTTCTGATGTCTTTAACTCTCACTGATTCAGTGTACCAACCCATTCAACTCACCTCCTTTTCTGATGTCTTTAACGCTCACTGATTCAGTGTACCAACCCATTGTATTTGAGTGCCATTAGTAAAATCCTTCTCTTTGTTTCTCTCTTGCAGTTGATCGAGTACTTAAAATGTTACCATTTAAGATGTTACACAAGTCAAGAATGTTAAGAAACATTGTTATTTACTGAATGCTAGAGGCTTGAAAAATTCCATTCACTGCTGACAGGTTGTTTGCACAGAGTGGTAAATTTATGTACTATTGTATACACACAATTTCCCTGGAAGTAATGATTAGCCTGCATGCCACTCTGCCTCCTGCCAGTGAGGTGCACCAGAACTCCTTCTATGGGACATGGACTAATGCTGTCAAGTAGATAGAATCCACTCCCAGGCCACTGGTGGCGCGATGGCTCTCCCAGTTTTTCCCTGGAAAAGATCTAGGCTCCCCTCCTGCCCTGGTTCCTAGGCTTTGAGGCCTCCTAGAGACCAGGCTGAATGGAGGGTTGCTCATTGTACTCTGTGACCTGGGCAGGCCATCAGCTTCTCTAGTTTCTATCTTGGAATAACAACAGAACTGACCTCACAGGGTTGTTGCAAGTATAACATTTGTCAAGAACTGCAACAAGAGGGCTCCAGATTTAAGACTGCACCAAAAACAGCTGCATGTATCATATGCCAGGTGCCCAGTGCACATTAACCATAACAATGCTCATTATTGCATTCTAATGAGCTTGCAGCAGCTGCTTATCTTTTAATCAAGGCAACAGCATTTAACTAGGGAGCTGGTGAACTCTTACTCCTGGAAAGGCCTATGTCTTCTTTCCTGGCCCTTGCCTCCTCCTACTGGTGCAACTTTGATTTTGAGTTTCAAACGTGACGAAGCTGGGGTGGGAGAGGAGAGCAGGGCAAGGGAGACTGCCTGCTTCTGTTTTGAACACAGGCAGCTCTAGCCTTCCAGACTTCTATGGGGGCTGACACATAAGAACCCAGGCACCTGTCCAGACAGGAAAGTGTATTGGCGCCTAAATTCAGCCTAGGGAGCTGGCAAGGTGGGACAGGACCAGTCTACGGGTGTGGGCATCACGGTGGTTTCCACTAGAGTTCCAAGTCTAGGGTGATTCCCAGTCTACTTCCAAATAAGGCCCATAAATGTGCATGGTCCCATTTGAGGTGGCTCCCCATCTCCTCAAAAATAAGCAAACACGTAAGTACAGTAACACACACAAAAGAGTTCGGGAAGCACACCGGTGAAACTGGACAGTCTAAGAGCATCTTGCTCTTTCCTATCTTCGGCTCTCTCTCTCTTAGCAGGGCAGAGGGGTTCATACACCTCGTCTGGTTTCCGTTTAGCTGCTCTGGTGTATTTCATGCTTGTCATTGAACAACCAGGTCTGCAGCCCTGCCCAATGAATCTGTAATTTCAAAAGTGTGCTCAGAGGGAGATGACTCCTGCCCACGTGAGTGGCTTCCCAGAAACATTTTAATTCTTTGAGCATAATTGCATGGAAGGGATCAGAAAAAAAAACACCCTTCTTTCCATTTTATTTCTAATGATTTTTCTTCCTTATGTATTTATTGGGGTATGCACACGTGTGTGTGTGTGTGTGTGTGTGTGTGTGTGTGTGTGTGTGTGTGTGTGTGTGTGTGTGCAGGGCATGTTGCAGCCAGAGGATGATCTCTGGTGTTTTCCTCAATCACGTCTCCGCCTTATTTTTTGAGAGTGAGGATCTTTTCTTTTTTCTTTTTTGGGTTTTTGAGACAGGGTTTCTCTGCGTAGCTCTGGCTGTCCTGGATCTCACTCTGTAGACCAGGCTGGCCTTGAACTCACAGAAATCCGCCTGCCTTCTGCCTCATAAGTGCTGGGATTAAAGGTATGCAACATAATACCTGGCTTTTTCAATTATACCTCTTGAGAGAATTAAGTGACCATCACCAATGTTAGAAATGAATTTCTCCACCTAGGGCTGCCAGGAGACTTCTGGACAGGCTCTCTTTAAAGTCCGACATGCTGAACCCCATGCCCAGACGGTTCGGGGAGATGCTCAGCAGAGACATACCGTGCCGTCCTTGGGGACTTTCATCTTCCACACGCCACCCTTTGCATTACTCTCCTCCTCCCTACATCAAAGAACAACATTTAAAGTTTCACTCCATGACGAAGGGGTAGTCCTATTTGCATTTAGTTTAACAAGAGCCAACATGAAACACAAAAGCACACAGGCATTTTCCAGTAAATGTTCTCCAGCTCTATGACTAGGAACAAAAGCAGCAGAATGAAAAAGGTAAGGAATGGAGATGAGAGAGGGAGCAACATGGAATCGGCTGTGATGGGGATGAGGGTGCCTGCAGGGATAGATACGAGGTCCTCATTCTCAAGGAGGTGGTACCCAGGGTCTCCCCGATTCGCTGGGGATGGACAGCTGAGGCAACAGCTTTGCAGGTGGGAAGACCTATACATTCCAAAGCATATTCATAATACTGTCTCATTTAATTCCCATGTAAACTTGGGTCACAGATTTAACAAGCGTTGCTATGGTGGACCATCGTTTAATAGCCACTTCCTATCTAGGAAAAACATCCTAATTTCCCTGCAAGAGGCATTCTGGTAGGACTGATTCCATATCCTAGCTTTAAAGATACATGTGCATCCCAGGTTTGCTTATGAGACCGTTTCTTCCTTATCCCATGATTGGCCAGGGATGGAGAGCTGATCCACAGTGAGCCAATGGTGGTGAGCCCTAGCTTTTATTGTGCTTGGAGAATGCTGACACTGATAAACTTGAAGGGCATAAATCACAGCTCACAGCTAGCAGGACTGGAGGTCTAAGTCTGTCACCCTAGCTGTTTAGGAGACTGAAGCAGAGGAATGGTAAGTTCAAGGCTTATCATGGTTACAAGGTGAGTTCAAGGCCAGCTTGGGCAACTCTGTCAGACCTTGTCTCAAAAAATGGGGTTGGGAGGCCAAGGGTGTGGCTGGAGCTCAATGGTAGGGTGCTTGCCTACCACGTGGTGCAAGGCTCCAGGTTCAATCCCAATGTTCAAAAGGACTGGAACTTGAGAGATCTATTTTCCCAGAAGCAGAAAAGCCTGACTGAAAACCCAGCCAACATTGAGAAAGCAAAGAAACGTGGTGGAGAGTGTCAGAGTCCAGATGAAGCCTGGCAAGCCAGACGTGTGGGACGCCAGTCCTGATGGTGAACTTCCCAGTCACAGACTCCAACAAAATCCTACTTTGTTTTTGTTCAATTTATGTTTCTACCATTCACTGGGAAATGAGCTGAAACATAATTTCATTTCACTTGTGAGTAAGTGTGAAAGGTTAAAGGACATAAAGATTTATTTGTACTAGAGGCCCCAGCCTGGGCAAGCTAACTGTCCATTGCCCTTACTACTACACCAAGTGATTAAGGAAGTGACATCAGGCTCCTCTGAGAGCCTGGGCCTTGATAAGCAGGGCACACTTTCTGTTAAGAGGCATGCCACAGGTGAAAACAGTCCCCATGAGGTTCACGGCTAGTTCCCACCCACCTTGACCTCCAGGTGAACCACACACACTTACCAAAGTGGTCGCCTCTCTCCTCTCATTAAGTGATAACTACATCTCAAAGGCAGGCTGGGCACAGGAGGGATGTTATTGTACACACTCCAGAATATCTTTAAAAGAAAAACACTTCATTTAAGATACCCAGTATGGATTAACAATGCCAGTACATTATATAAATAAATATTGATTCTCATTAAGTCTAGCCATTTGGAGTGGATTTTTTTTTCTCATTAGCTCTTCAAAGTTTTTAATGCAGAACAGTAAAACATGGTTCCTTCTAGATGTTAGGCTAGGTTCTATTTTTTAGAAAGCCATTGTTATGAAGGAAGCATTCCTAAGCAGCATGTACCATAAAACCAGAAAGGCAACACTGAGCGGTGCCAGGGCTGGACTTAATAGTTTCAGGTTCATTGTGGGTGCTCTGACTGCTTTGCTTGCATGTATGCACGTGCACCATGTGTGTTCACTTGTCCGCAGAGGCCAGAAGAGGGCGTCAAAACCCCTGGAACTGTAGTCACAGGTGGCTGTAAGCCACCTGATGTGAGTGCCGGGAACAGAACCCAGGTCCTATGCAAGAAGAGCAAGTGTTCTTAACCACTGAGCCATCTCTCCAACTCCCTGATGAGGGTCTTCGGATAAGATTATATTGAAATGTAGACTACAAAGCATGCTCTTCCTGTAATCTTTCTAATCAAATGTTCAAAAACTAAAGATCTGGGCTCCATATCTATTAAGGTTAGTGAGTTAACATATCCATCTCATATGCTGTCGTGACAAGAGCAGCTGAAATCTACATTTTTAACAAAAAAATTCCTTATGAAAAACGACTTTTAGCCAGGCGGTAGTGGCACACGCCTTTAATCCCAGCACTCAGGAGGCAGAGTCAGGCGGATCTCTGTGAGTTCGAGGCCAGCCTGGGCTACCAAGTGAGTTCCAGGAAAGGCTACAAAGCTACGCAGAGAAACCCTGTCTGGAAAAACCAAAAAAAAAGAAAAAAAAAAAAAACGACTTTTATTAACATCAGTCCTTGGGGCTGGAGAGATGGCTCAGTCATTAAGAGCACTTGTTGCTCCTGCAGAGGAGCAGACAGGCGGGAGTGTACATATACACACATACAAAATAAAAAGATCCCATCAGCTCTCCTTTCATCATCCATGGAGACTTGTCATAAATAAGTTGACCCTGTAAGACTCAGCTTATGGGAACTGTGGGTCATGACCTCATGTGGGGTTGCAAAGGACCTGGGAACAGGACAAGGTTTCTAATAGGCAACAACAGGATTAATTCAGAATTAAGTGAGTAATCAATCTGGCGTGTTTCTGGATCATCTGCCCACGCTGCTCACATCACAGTCTTATTTCTGAACACAGAACCTGTGCACTGTGCACTGGGCTTTCTGTCACAAAACGCAACACTAACGAGCATGCCTGGGTCCCCGCCACTCAGATTTGGGAAGACTGCATGCTATCACTGCTGTATTTTTACTGGACATACAAAATGTTTTGTTCGGATAGAGGCCAAACGTTTAGTTATGGAATACAAAGGCTTTTAACCCTTTCCTACCACCACTCCTCAGCATGTAAGTATCAAGTTCGTATATATTTGGATTGGACTAGATTAGAATGTTCGGCTTGAGGGCTGGAGAGAAGAGAGCTCAGTAGTTAAGAGCACTTGCTGCTCTCACAGAGGACCCAGGTTCGATGCCCAGCACCTACATGGCAGCTCACAACCATCTATAACTTCAGTTCCAGAGGATCGATGCCCTCCTCAGACCTCCGTGGGCACCAGGCACACATATGATACACATGAAGACAAAAAACATGCATACACAGAAAAAAAATTTTTTTAGAATGTTTGATTTTTAAAACTTGCTGTTTGAGTTGCTAACTTGCATTTCACTGGAAAAAAAAAACATTAAATGAATTTTGGCTTGGGCTTAAGATAGAATTTCCAGTGATTTTTGAAATGGCTGTAAAAACACTTTTGCCATTTTGTAGTACATGTTTATGTAAAGTGGCATTCTCAGCATTATTATAAAATCAAATGTCTATTAACTCTGAAACATGTTGAATATAGTCTGTTCTACAGTATCAAATATTCAGCTAAGATGTATTCCTTTAGATAAAAATTAAGCATTTCCATCTCATTAGTATGCACATTTGCTTTTATTTTTATTAAATGACACACACACACACACACACATACACACACACATATATGCACCAAATAACTGTTTAAAGATAAATATTCTTGAGGTCCATTACCAGTGATTTTTTTTAATGAACACTTAGTTTACAATCCTATGTACGCAGGTCCACATAAAACTGTCAGATGCAAAGGTTCAAGAGTGGAGACAGTGCCAGAAGCCCTGTTCTAAAACACACACATTCTCAGCAGAAAGGATCTTGCTAACAGATACTTTATTGGCGTGGTACTCAGCAGAACCTTTAGAATGATTATCAAACCCCATTTCCCTACAGCAGACTCTCCCAGGAAGAAGTCTGGGGTGCTTTGCCTGGGGCTGAGGGTGGAAAGGAAGATAAGAGGAAGCACATTAGATCTTGTCCCTCTCTTGCTCTTCCTAGAGGGACCAGAGAACAGCTCAGCAGCCAGGCCAGAAGGTACCGAGATGCGATATACATGAACTTCGAGTCTGTGTCTTTTCCAAGGCAGTCCTCTGGCCTTCATACACAGTCATGCCCAAACACACACAGCTGGCTAAACTGCAGAGATGGTAATGATGGGCTGAAAGAAAATCAAAGGCCATGTATAGAGTATACATTGGCAGATGTATCAGTGGGGAATCCAAAACTCTTCTACTTCAATGGTGCTAATTTAGGCAATCACAAAATTAGCATGGTGTGACAGTAGATCCTCTAACAGACTCGTGTCCCTGTGGAGGGGCTCATGCCCTCTCTGTTAGTGCCAACAGTAAGATCTCCGCAACACCTTGGCTCCCGGCTATGCTGTTACCGTGAGCAGGCAGAGCTGGAACTTGAGTCCCAAGTCCCTAATTCTTAAAAACTACTAACCTATTTTCTTTGATGATACTATATGTTTTGTGCATATCTTTCCAGTCTTAGAAATCACAGACAAGTCATGTGCAGAGTCACAGAAGGAAGGACACCTGTTGACAACGTCTTTCAACCAGTCAGATGCCCTCACCTCCACTTAATTTGGTGATGCATATAACTCTAGCCCAAGACTCCTGCTATGACATGGCAATGGTCTCTGCAGAATCCATGGGCAAAATGATGCAAAACCAGAGTCCCATCTAAGAGAAAGCCAAGAGGATGCTGCTAACAGCCGACTTCAGCTCTGAAGGTCACCCTTACCAAAGCTCCCCCTGACATCCCTGCCAGTCTTCTACAGTCCTGACCTTTTGCGTAGCATTTGAAGTACTTAGAGAATGACATACAGCACACATTTCTTTTATCTTAAAACTGAGAAAAGGCCAACGGACCTTGTTCAGGGTAATAGCCTTGGAAGAATAAAAACAAAAACAGCCCTGAGCTTGTTTACTTTGGCGAATCTGGCAGAAAGAAGACAGACCAGCAAGATGCAATGGTGGGCTGAACTTGGAAGTTGTTTATCACTGCATGTGTTTGTGCCTGAACACACAATGGGAGCGAAAGATCCAGGTATCCCAGTGGGCCGGGACCTGCTCAGGAAGCACATGGCACTGAACAGCTGTTTCCCTGTTATTGCAAACCTCTCTCCTCTGTCATCTGCTCGTCAGTATGTCTGATGGAGAAGGATGGAGGGAGGAACTAGCACTGCACACTCCTGGAACCCTGCTCCTCCCCACAGAAGGCAAAGGACTGACACTGTGCAAGCCTGATGATTCACGATGACTGTTCCGGTAACACCTAAATGTTCCTACAGGTTCAACTTTGCAAGTAGATTCCCAGAGGCACCAGGCTTATGATTAATCTTCTTTGGCCTTCCACAGAGCACTGAAGTACAGCTAACCACAATGCTTCTTAATGACAGTTAAGTGTTCCCCGACCTCACAAAGCCTCAGTGATTACCTAAGGGCTAGAATAGGTATCGACGTTGGCACTGTTCATTCGGTCAGCATTTGGGGATGCCAGTTGTATGCCAGCATGTGTCTTTCACTGGGATGGGACTAAGTTAGTGTGGAAGGATGGCTAAGGCATGGGGGCCACTTGCTGACTGACAAGTTTCTAACATCGTTGTCCTTGAAAAACTAAGGCAGGACAGACCCTAGTCCAGTGAAGTCTAACACCTAGATTTAAGGTATTGCTTCTCAGAAAAGGTCACACAGTCATCAAAAGCCTCCCCCCCCAGTGTACACACATGTGTACCACACGGTCCCTCCTTGGGTGAATCAATCACAGTGCATTGAAAGCAAAGGGAGACCTACGTAAGGATGCAAGACATGATCCGACATCAGATCTGGATGGCAGACCTGTGAGAGATTTTTCGCTTGGTTTGAAATTGGTGAATCCACTTCTAATCCAGACCTCTGAGGTGGGAAGACACACCTTTAATCTGGGCCACATCTTCTGCTGGAAGTTATATATAAGGACCTGGAAGAAGGAAGTGTCTGTTCTTTGTCTACTTGTCCTCCCCTTGGAGCCCACCAATTCATTCACCGGCATCGGAGCCTACTTCTTTGGGATGCCAGCATATACTGAAGACCAGCCGAGACATCTAGCCTTGTCGACTGAGCAACTCCTGGATTCTTGGACTTTCTATTCACAGCCAGGCATTGTTGGATTAGCTGGACTGCAGCCTGGAAGGCATTCCAATAAATCCTCTTTACACACACACACACACACACACACACACACACACACACACACACACACACACACACAGAGAGAGAGAGAGAGAGAGAGAGAGAGAGAGAGAGAGAGAGATTCATTTTATAAGTTCTGTTACTCTAGAGAACCCTGACTAATACAGGAGGGAATGAGGAAATAAAGAAAAGGGGGAAACAGGAAGAAAGGGAGGAGGAAGGGAGGAAAAGAGAAAGGGAAAGGTCAGTAGAGGAAGGAGCAAGTGAGAGAGGAAGAGAGAGAGAGAAGGAAAGAACAAGGTGGGGGTGGGGGAGCAGGAACCAGTCGGGTTTTCCTGTGTTGCA